AAAACACTACAGAAAATACATATTTCAGATTGTTTAGGAAATGTTGCAAGTCAAAAAATGTTTATAGACGTCTTCAAAATTTCAGAACTGTACTCCTTCATAAAAACACATGCGCCTTTATACATGCATTTTCCGAAGCCAGGTAAATGCAACATAGCCTTTAATGCACAGTAAATATCTGTCTTCTAAAATGAGAAACTGGAAAGACTATAAGATGTTATACTGCATCTTGCTACCAGTAACTTAAATCACCAAAGAACAGTAGAGTGAAGAATGTCTGCTTAAGAAGAAGAAAATAAAAAGGTAGCCTATTTCCAACTTTGGACTGCTTTTGATGTCACCCTTACTCCATCTTACTTTGGAGGCAGCTTCTGCAGGAATTAACTCCACAAGATGAGTTCTTAGGCCAGAAAAAGAGGTTGAGTACCTCAAGTCATGCCTGTTTTTCTTTTCTTCCCCTCTGCTTCTCCAAAATGTATCAATTGGTATAATAAAAGGCATTCTCTCTCCTTATACACAAATCATTCATATCTTTAAAAATCATAGCTGTAACATCACAAAGAAGCAGTTGTCTGCTAAGGATCATTGGGTTGTTATAGGACAGTAATAAGAGGCCTGAACAAACTATAAAATCCAATCCCAATAATAAATAGTTCCTGAAAATCTAATCAATTAAAGACAACAGAGATTTTACAGTCTTTTTTACAAAACAGTGTAGGACAAAAAAGAGAAAACCCTGTAACGAGAGCTCCATGCATTCATAATAATGTCCAGCTGTGATATTATCTGTCTTACCTTCGCATCCTGTTTAAATTTCTGAAGAATAGGCTATCCTTTTTCCTGATCCATACATATACATAACAAAAAAAACCCAAAAATCTTGAGTCAAAATTCTAGCCTCAGTCCAACTGCAACTGAAGTAACAGAGAGAATGCCTTTGAAGTAAATAACATTTGGTTCTTTGATTTTAACCTCAATCTGGATTGATTTATTAACTGTAAGCAATGATCAAATCCTAGCTGCCAAATATCCATTCTTCTCCTCTACCCTTCTTGGTATATTTTGTCAGTACCTTCGTGATGAAGAACTCCAAATGTGTTTATCAACACTTACAGACAAAATTTGGCACTATTAGGAAACCCCTTCTGTTGGAAATGTTTTTTTTTATCTCAGTGAAAATACCATTTCTGAACATGATTCATCAGACAGCAGAGTTGTTCAGGGTACATGCACATACAGAATATATCATGTGGCCTAAATGTGCATTACTTATTGGTATAATATGGTTGCTATTTGTTAGAGTAATTAAAATCCTCGCAGATATTTTTAAACCTTTCATCACTTTGTTGTATTCAACTCTTATCTCTTTCAAACTCCTCAAAAGTAAATTTTCCAGGACAGAGACCATCTTTTTCTACTGTGGCTACAGTATCTGGAACAGTGAGTGTCAACTACTTGAGTAGAATTTCTGGCTATGGCCCCCAAGAGAAATAATCATTCTTTTCACCTGTAAAATCCTCCAATATTAGTATACTAGCATATTTTTATAATTTATCACATGTAGAATCATAGAATCATTAAGGTTGGAAGAGACCTCCAAGATCATGTACTCACATTTCTTTTTTTCCCCCCAAATCTCAAATGAATCACTGTTTCTACTAACATCTTTAAAGACATTCTAGCTCAGAAGTAATCATGCACCTGAAGCACTGCCTATTTAAAAGACTTGAAATGCAATTTGGAGATGACATTTGTTCATCCAATTTCCGGTTACACAGAGAAGGAATTTAGCAAAATTGTAGATGGTGTTGTAAGGGCCATCGTTGAAGTTAATAGGAAACAAGCCCTGCCCAATAAAGAGCATAATCCAGAAATAGACAGCAGCCGGTGACACATATATAATTAGAGAAACTGGAGGCTTTGCCCATGAGACCATGTGTTCCACAGCAAATCCCATTTCCTTCATTCTCCCCTTCATGGTTATTTTAAGTGTAATCATTGCATGATCATAGTCCTTACATATAACATATCAGTTTCTTTTTGTTTTTTCCAATATTGGTGTTAATTTAATTCACTGAACAAATGACAAAAAAATCCACAGCTCAGATCTTATCAGACCAACTGACTCACAAGTCAGAAACCCTATAAGGAGACCAAAAGACCAAATTTTACATCTCACAGGTATCTTATATAATGGTTCTTTTTTCCCATAAATATAAGCCATTAGCTATTTCTTTTGATTTTTTCCTTGCTAAAAAAGTATAAAATAAAACTGACAACATAAAATGTCTGATGTAGAAGTCCAGGTCATAAGAAGGAGGAAGTTAATTTACCAACTTCCAAGTAAAAAAAAAAAGTCTACTGGTTCTACTATAACATAGGGAAGTGAACATCAAAAAAACCAAGTTCATCATAAAATTCTGAAAATAATTCTGAAAAGATTAGGGCTCTCACTGCTATGCTACAGAATTTAGCTCTATTACCTGCCCTTGTTACTGAAGCACAACAGTAACCTAAGACATACGTAACAGGAGGAAGGAAGGAATCATTCTGAAAAAGACTTATGTATGATAGTGAATAACAAATTAGGCATGAGTGTCCATAGTGATACAGCAACAAAAGACTGCTGCAATTTTCAGCTGTCTGTACTCAGACGGTAACAGAGCAAAGGGACTAGAGTCCCTTCTCTGTAAGTTGGGATGTTAGCGTACTCAGAAATGTCCATTAAATTTTAGTTCCACGCTGAAGGAACTGGAAGAGGAATAATAATAATAATAATAATAACAAGAAGTTCAGCAAGAAGCAAAACTAGTAAGTGCTATGGATTTGAATGTCATGGTTGGATTCTCTGGTATCTTAAAAATGCAAATTCCAGTGAGTACTTTCTCCTATGCATCTCCTCTGTGGATTCTCTGCCAGGAATATCTAATAGGTCTTTCTTTTCGTTTATCTCTAGATTATTAACACAAAATAACACAATAACACAAAATACTGCACTAAACATATTGTAAAAACTGCACTGCTATCCAGTAGTAGAACTGAAACCTAAATCAGAAATACATACAGTACAATTATGTGTTCCTAGTATTTGCATGGCTGTTGTTTTTACACTATGTCTTCTTCGTTCACTTTTTTATCCATTTGTCCACTGTTGGGTGTCAATGATTGGTCTGATGCAACAGAAGAAAAACAGAACGGACGATTTCTAATTCAGGTAACGAAAGGAGGTTTCTTGTTTTCTCATGATACTATTGAAATACATTTCTTTGTGAGTAAAGGCTTTAGGTGAATTGTCAAGCAAAACTGGAGATATTCTTATAATGAGAAGAAAATCTTCAACATATTTTCAAATCTAAGTAAATAAAGTTGTTTAAGAATTTGAAGTTGAAGGAAGAGGAACAATGAGAAGGAAATGTAATATAGACAGTATATAAAACTTATAAAAGAAGCTACTCCTTTTGAGTACTCGTCTAAATGGCTGAAACCAGACCTAGGATATATAAATGCAGAGATTTGCCTTCCTCCCACATCACCTATATGATGCATCAAAAATAAATACAATATTATACAGGTATTTATATAGAGTTATTAAAACATCTACTTTTACACATAAAGTGATCCAAGTTACTTGTGTATTAGTGCAACATTTTTAAGCAATACCGAATGGTATGGGTTTCCTTGTCATTATTTTCTAGTAAAACATAAAAGAAAATAATCAAAATGCACAAACCAGATTACACAGTATGTTTGATGTAGCAATTTCTAACATTCATTTAATATAGCCAAGCTGCAATGACTAATACTGCCCATGTCCGCTAGTACAAAGACCTAAAAAAGGTTCCAGACTAGATTACGTTCATGCAGGTCTCATTTTAACGGAAATTGGAGAGATGAAAAAAAGATTATAGGAGCACACATTATAAAAACAGACCTCACAAGTCAAACTTAATAGTGAAACCATTCTCTTTCATGTAGACAACCATGAAAACAAATATCCTGTAAGCACTAGATATATATTGTATCTTTCTACCAGATCTCTTTGCCTCCTTGAGACAGATTCCCATTCATCTCATGACTATATAATTTGATCATAGTTGAGTAAGGCACAGCAGGGGAAAGGGTCTGTCTGATAAAGTATCAGGCTCCAGGAAGATAGATAAACAATTTCATGATTTCTAGTTGTAACAGGAATGGTACAGTGGTGGATATTAAGATATTAGTCTCGTCGGAATACAAATATCAAGCTTCTGCAGTTTTTTCCCTTCTAAATATGTTTTGTTTCCATTAAGTGAAAACGACAGTCTGATTATGATAAACTAAGGCAGAACGCCAGAATAAAATGCAAGGTACACGTGAAAAGTGGAATTAAATCTTTTTTGATTTGTCAATGTGAAAGTTAGTACATAACTTTTTTTTTTTGCTTAGTTTAAGACAAGTGAAAAAATAGAGCAAGGAAGTTTCTTTCTCATGGGATATTTTTACTGCAAAGAAACATTATTTAAAAGTAGGTGAAACAATTGCCTAGCAAGTTGTTTCACATTTAAACCTCTTCCTTCACAAGGGACACACTGGCAGGCAACTCCTCCTCTGCTGCAAGTCACTAGAGTAATGCCTATTTGCAATGCTACCTCATTGTTCTACATGTATTAAATGAAGGCTTGAGTGATAATATTTGAACAGCTATGATAGACTTCTTTTTCATATATTAACGCATATATTTGGTTTGTATATATTAACACAAATATATAGCAGCCATTACTAATACAACTCGTGTTAGGTGGCAAATGTTATACTATCTTTGTAATTACTTCCTGTCTTGGATAGCTGAAAAACATGGTGATATCCAGTCATGCTGATACTGCTTTTACTTATAAAAATTCAAAGAACAAAAATATATTCCACAACAAGATTTTAGTTACAAACCCTGGCTGTTTAAGAATATATATTCTGGAGTAAGCAATTTTTAAAGCTGTCGTAATATCTAATTTAGTATCGCTTACCTGTGATTCTTTTACATTTTCAACAGTGAAGTTGAACCAAACTCGAAAGCGAGGGTTACACGTATCTGGTCTAATGAACAGGTCATACTCAAACTCTGTGATGTGGTCCACCCGTCCAAGATTACCTACCAAGAACATATGAAAAAGAATGCATTTTAATGAATAGCTGATAAACTCTCCAGGAACTACACTGAGACAACTTTTAAAAACTTCTACCTCTGTTGGTTAAAATATATAAGTATAATAAGCCTTACAACAGTGCAGAATTATTTTTAAAAGACTTAACCATAGTCACAAAATAAAATACATACCAGTAAGCTACATGCATATAAACACACCAAAAAGAAGACAACATGGATTTTTATTATTCAATCAAATTGACTTTTTGTCTTCTCTTATCTGAGTATTCCAGTTAAGTGTCCTAACATCTTTTTAATTGTTTCCTTTTTTTTTTTTTTTCACTTTTCTGATAATGTCTCTGCAGCTCTTTTAGCCCCCACCTGTATGGATTTCTTTCCTTCCATTTGCTGCTCATGTTCAAGCACCTCTAAGATTAAAGAGTCCCCAGATTTCCACCTGGCCCCTCTGGCTGGTGCTCTGAGCGTCCCTCTCTCCCCACGGATGGGCCAGCCTTCATCTCCTTTGTGATTCAAAAGCTATCTTAATACTTTTCCTTTACCATTTGCAGCCACCTCCTTCCAAGAGGCTGTAAGATTTCGTCTCAGCTTTTTCCTGGTGAATTTCATGGAATAATATTTTTGAATATAGTCAGAGCTACATCGTCCCCCATGGCATTATTCAGCAAGCAACCACACTGGCTATAGAAATGAAGTTCAGCACTGGGAAAACTTGCTAAGTGCTTTTAAATTGCTAAATTGGCATTCTTCCTTTGAAGTGTGCCAAGATTTTTAAAGACACAGTTTAGACTGTCCATTTCATTTGTACACTACAAAAATAAGACTTCATATTTTCCTGATCCAATCCAAAACCCATCTCATCAGGTCTTGTAAGACAAGGCCATGCTTTAGCTCACATGCTAAATTATACTTATTAAAAAAAAATAGCACTGTAAGATGACCTGGCTTTCTGGTTTCAGATGTATTTTGGGGTTTAGATATATATTTTTGGGTTGGATATATACTTCTAGGTTCAAATAGTTATTTATAATTCTATTTGAGCTAAACAATTCCCCCCTCAGCAAGTCCCATTTCACTCAATACGATTGTTCATTGGTAACGTGTTACTCAGTATAAACACAAGTAGCAAAATTTCGCTGATCTGCTGTACTGGGGTGGAAAAAGAAGTAGGAAAAAACATTTGCAACTCTGTTCATCAATACATTTGCAGGATTTCTTCCTTATCCTAAATTGTTTCTGGCTTTACTAATTGAACATTTTTAATCTTCCCTATTTTTAATGTTATCCTCTACTTTCCTACCCACATTCTTCTTTTCAGAAGAAAATTCTCTTCACCGATTCCCTCTGCAGAAAACCGCTTCATGCTAACAATCTGTTCCTAAACACTTGCCTGAAGGATACATTTGGCATACGAAATATTTGAAAAGAACCAGCAATATTGTACAGCTAGAATACCTTTGCCAAATATAAATAATGTCATCTGCTGTATCGGATGTCCGTGCCCAGGTGCTGGCAGCGGGGCCTGGAGGGCTGAGCTCTCTGAGGAGAGGCTGGGCTGCCCCGTGCCCGCCACAGCCGGTTCCAGCCGGCTCCGCAATGGCCCCACCGCAGGGCACAGCTGAGCCCCTCAGCGAAGGTGGTGGCGCCTCCTTGAAAGCGCACATAAGGAAGGGCAAAAACACCACGCAGGCAGAGCAGTGAGGGAGTCTGAGGAGAACCAGGGTTCGAGGAGGAGAAGGAGGGAAGGGGGTGCTCCAGGCACCAGGGCAGAGACTCTCCCGCGTCCTGTGGGGAGAGGCTGGAGCAGGTGGATATTTCCTGAAGGACCAGTGGCCTGTGGAGGACCCACGCTGGAGCAGGCTCTCCTGACAGGAACTGTGGCCGTGGTAAGGCCCAGGCTGGAGCAGGGGAACGGTGTGTGGAGGGAGGAGCAGCAGAGAGGAACTGCTGAGAGGCACTCCCACCCCCCTGCACTGCTCCTTGCAGGGGGAGTGAAGTTGATCCTGGGAAACAGGGAAGGGTGGGGGGAAGGTGTTGTTTTAATTTCTCTTTGTTTCTTGCTATCCAAACCTATTTTAACTGGCAATAAATTAGTTTTCCCCAAGTCGAGTCTGTTTTGCCTGTGATGGCAATTGGTGAGCAATCTCCCTGTTGTCTTTATCACAACCCATGAGCTTTTTCATCTTATTTTCTCCCCCCGTTCTGTTGAGGAGGGCGAGTGAGACAGCGGCTGGGTGGGTGTCTAGCAGCCGGCCAAGGTCAACCCACCACATCTGCCTGACTTTAGGTTAAGTCCCTTACTCATCTAAGTGCACTTCCTGCCACAGGGGTCAAATCTATCACTGCTATTCTTAACAACAGAACTTGAATCTTAACGTAAACTATAATTTCCTACAGATTATCATCCAAAGTAAATAAGAGTGGTAAAATCAAGCTATTGCATTGTGATACCTTTAATTAAAGGACTTTGTTTTACTGTATTTTTCATTAAGTGTCATGAACATATGACATTGTTGGGAAAATAATATTCCTCACATATTTCAGAATTTAGGTGGTCCAAGCTGTTCAACCGCATAGGTTGGATTCCAGTTGCCTCACAGGTCAGTTTAAGCTCTCTCTGGACAAAGCTTAATGCGTGGACGTCCAGAGTCACTTCAATCTGAGTTGTGCATGTGACGCTGGTGGATCCTCTACAATTAAGGCAGCAGGCTGGATCAACAGAGACTCTCGACTAGGTCCAGCTTGTAAGCTACTAGGTATACATGCCTCCCAATGGTCCCAGCAATTCCAGATACAGATTAAGTTATCTGCAGCACAGACCAGAGGTGCAAATTTTGATTGAATTACTTCCAAAGAAGGACACAGAAGCAATTAAATGTATATTTTAAGTTCAAAGACCATTAAAAAGTTGTACTGCAAGGCATAGGAAACTAAAAGATTATTAAGTGAATAAATAGAAACAGAGCAAAATGAGACCTTGATTTCTAGGGCATCGCACATTTCAGCTTCTTTTTCAACATCAAACTAATCTGAACTGTATGGGGGACAGATGGCCCACTCAGAACTACTTTACAGAGTCCATAGGATCCCTAAACTAGCACTGGAGAATTGTATTGATGTCAATGAAATCACTGATGGTGAAGAGTTGGCGTGCTGGAACCACTCCAAGCCAGTCTTCTCTGGAAAACCTATATACTGATCTCAAATCCAGCAGAACCGTTAATTTAATCATTGTGTGCATGATTCCCTGGGACTCCCAACACTGTTTTCTCTCTTTATCTGTAATATTTGATCTGAATACTCACCTCCCTCTTAATGCAGTATTTTTGCTTTTGTGAATTGTATCTCACTTTATTACTTTTTGCCTACAGAACTGCCTCTTACTAGGCTCCTTCGTAGTACACGTCAGCTGCCATAGTCACCTGCAGCCATTTGCAGTTTAGCATCATTTGTACATTTCATTAGTGTACTATTTCTTCTCTGTCTTCCAGACGCTAAATAGGCTGGACCGAACACTAATGCCTTCGGTAACAAATTCAACAAGTTCCTTGTGCTCAATAGACTATTGTTTGTAATATCACGGCCTTTGCTCACAATCTGTCAGCCTAATTTCAACCCACGTAGCAATGTCATTAAACAAGATGGCAGTTTTGGTACAACGAAGCCTAGAACTGTAAGAACAAAACATTTCCTCGCTTTAAGAGATGCTTTGTAGAAAACCGATAATGCTACTGAAAAACATTTTTGGTGTCCAAGAAAGGATATAAACTTCCCAACGTTAATCTCATAAACCAAGTTAACAATTTTGCATACTGCCTTCTCACTGCTGTAATCATGGGAAATATATTTATTCTAATGAGTGAGAATTATATTCCAATACCACAGGTAATACAGTGAAATGCGTTAGAAACTATGAAACAGGAATTAAAACATTGGTTACACTATTCCATTTAGCCATTATCCATTTTAATATTTTAACATTGAAAATGAACATTTTTTTCTTAAGTGCAAACAACGGCTAACCTGCTTTTATTTTTTAATAGCTCTATAAGGTTCCTTAAAATTTCTCTTTTCTTCTTTTGTTCAATGTATAGCAAGAGAGAAAACTGTTTAATGAATGGTTAGACAGTCAGTTCCTCCTATGTCACAGGAATCTCTGTGCAATTACGCAATACATACACTCTGCTTTGCAGTACCTGAGGTGGACAGTTTCTGTGCTGAAATGATGATAAATTTAAGAGAAAGCTAGATAGCACCAATTCTGTGTAATGTACTGACCAATAATTTTCAGTCTCGATACAACTACTGTAAGACCCTTCCCATGCAGAGTTTTTATTCTGTGTACTTTGCTATCTGGTAATTTGTGATATCAGTAAGAGAGTCTGTTGATAACCATATTGGTTAAGTACGTTCTTTTAAAATCAAAGAAAACAGTCTCACACTACTAAAACATCAGCTTTGCTTTACTTTACTTTGGGTTCATGCCCGCATGGAATCATCACCACTCCATTCAATAAATACAGAAGTTGTGTCTATGAGACTATACAACACTTTTTAAAGCATCATCACTCCATAATTTGTGATTAGCATTATATTTGGGGGTTAACATTATAAAACATAAGATATTAATAATGTTATTTAAGGTACATGTAAAATTAATGAACTGATTGAGTAATATGATCTGCAAGGGAAAAAAGCCCAACAACATTATGAGCAGTAAAATCTGAACTTATTGGCATTCTAAGACATTTCTTGTTTAATTTTTGGTTTTTTACAGTTTGGGTGCACGTCTGGTTGTCAGATGGCTTTCTGACTATATCTTAAAAGTAAAATAAACAATTTATTAGAGTAGCCAGCACTTTACAAAACATTATGGATTTTTTCTCCTATGCACTCTGAAATTAGTTGCGGGGTTTTTTTTCTATTGTTATTGTACTTTACAGAAATACTGGCACAGATCTCTTTAAACTGATGGGAAGATGTGAACA